GCTTTGAGATGAAATCACTGCCTAAGGCACTCTTCAGGAGCGATTCTCTGTGTTCCTCCTCTGCTGCCTCTTCCCCCGTTGGCTCAGGGCATGGGGACTCCCTGGACTGAGGGTGTGCAGCCCAGGGAGGGAATGTCCCCCACGGTCCCTGCCGTGGCTGCTGTGTCCTCAGTGTCACAGCAGCCCCTGCCCGGCCCTGTCTGACCGGGGTTTGGGTGGCACGGCCTCCTCTGCAGCAACCCTGAGAGGATGTTTGTCAAACCGGCTGCCTCCCGGCTCCCCTGGTACCCTGCCTTGCTGTGGTTTGAGTGAACATCTTATCAGCCTCATCTCCTGCTCCGTGCAGAGCTCTCGCTCGCTGACAAACACCGAGGTGAAGTTTTTCTTGAAAATCGCAGCTTTCTCCCCGCACTGCCCCGTGCCCTACAAAGGCTTCCTCCAGCTGCTCCCTCCCTCGCTCCGGCTTTCTATCTTTGGCTCCTCTGCGAGGTGGAGGGGAGGCAGTAAAATCTTACAAGTAAACAGCTGAAACCCAAGATTTTCTTCTGTAATCTAAGAAAAACAGTTTCACTGGAGGAGCAGGTACCAGGCATGTGCTGCTGCACTGCTGGGCCCAGCTCGGTGTTCAGGGCTGAGCTCAGTGCCCAGGGCTGAGCTCAGTGCCCAGGGCTGAGCTCGGTGCCCAGGTCACAGCTCGGTGCCCAGGGCTGAGCTCGGTGCCCAGGGCTGAGCTCAGTGCCCAGGGCTGAGCTCGGTGCCCAGGTCACAGCTCGGTGCCCAGGGCTGAGCTCGGTGCCCAGGGCTGAGCTCGGCGCCCAGGGCTGAGCTCAGTGCCCAGGGCACAGCTCGGTGTCCAGGGCTGAGCTCGGTGCCCAGGGCTGAGCTCGGCGCCCAGGGCTGAGCTCAGTGCCCAGGGCACAGCTCGGTGTCCAGGGCTGAGCTCGGTGCCCAGGGCTGAGCTCGGCGCCCAGGGCTGAGCTCAGTGCCCAGGGCACAGCTCGGTGTCCAGGGCTGAGCTCGGTGCCCAGGGCTGAGCTCGGCGCCCAGGGCTGAGCTCAGTGCCCAGGGCACAGCTCGGTGTCCAGGGCTGAGCTCGGTGCCCAGGGCTGAGCTCGGCGCCCAGGGCTGAGCTCAGTGCCCAGGGCACAGCTCGGTGCCCAGGGCACAGCTCCGGTGTGTTCCAGTGCCCAGCTCTCCCTCTGCACTGAGGATCTCCCAAAGCTCCTGTCCTGTCCCTCAGGATGAGCTGGAGGAGGCAGAAAGCTGAGGTGGAGCTCAGAGCAGTTGATTTTCCTCCCTTCTGAGGATCTCACCTCGAAAACAGCTCTGGGTAGGATCCCTTTGCTTTAAACCCAATGAAGTTTTTTGTCCATCTGCTGCAGCATCAGCCCAAGCTGCTGCTTCCTTCAGCCTCACCAGGCTCCTTGTTCTGTTTCCCTCAGTGCCCAAAGCCCTCCGGGTGCTGAGCCATGGCCTGGCACCACCCCAGGTGAGGGATCCGTGTCCCTGTATGCACTGCCACTGTCCCCAAAGCTGGGCAGAGCGTTCGGCGCTGCTCCCGAGGCCCAAGGGCTTTGTTTTCCCTCTCCTGTTTCCTGCCGGGATGCTCAGCCCCAGAACAAGGGGCAGGAAAGGGTGTTGTCCTGGCCCCAGGGTACCCGGGCTCCCCGGTGCCGCTGGAGCTGCGGGATCCCCTCTGGAGGGCCCCTTGGCAGGTCCTTGCCATCCCGAGGAGATCTCGGCTGCTCCGTGTCTGCCTGGCCCCGCTCTCCCGGCTCCGGAGCCTTCCCTGCCTGCGGTGTGGAGCCCCCAGGCTGCGGGGTTTGCTCTGAGGGCTGAGAGGTGTCCTGCAGGGGGGTCTGGTCCTCTTCACTGCTGCATTTTGGCTCTTTGGGCTCTTCCCTCTGGTCCTGGGCTCCAGAGGGAGCTCAGGGGAGTCCTCTGGGCGCTGGAGATGGGGCTCGGGTGGACCTCAGCCCAAGAGAAGGGATTTTCCTTGCTGGAAGGGCACTCTGTGCCTGTCCCAGCTGTGCCAGGGCTGCTGGTGCCACTGGGCTGCTGAGGGCCCTTCTGCTCCTGGGTGGGAGCAGATCCTGAGCAGCAGGAAAGCGCTGGAAGGGAAAGGTCCCAGGCCCTGGAGGCAAGTGGGGAACCCCAGTGGGTCCCAGCTGAGTGGAAAGTCCTTGCCAGGGAGCTGTGGTGCCCCAAGGCTTTCCCGTGACTTTGGTGGCTTCACAGCTCAGCAGAAAAAGATGGCTTTTGTTGATAATTCTTTTTCATACTATTTTTTCCTTTTTACAAACTTTTTGCCTCAAGCAGTACAAGGGAAAATCTAAAACCAGTGGTCAGCAGGTTCCCACTTCCCACCAAAGGGTAGATGTTTACTAGGTTGGTGTTAATTAACAGAAGTACTTAATTTGTCTGTTCACCTTTGTGTCCCACAGAGATGAATGAAGCCTCTTAACTAAGCAATCCTGGATGGAAATTCCCCAAGGGTCTGGCACCCATGCAGGACAATTTCACAGATGATTTTAGGATATTTCCCAAGCTGAGCTTTGGTGTGCTGGGCCTCCTCTCACTCACTTTAATCAGTGGCTTTTAAGAAAATAATTGGTTAGAAATTTATAGTAATTAATAAGAAATAATTTAAAAAGAATTTATAATAATTGTTATAAATTGCCCTTTTGGATGCTCACACCTCCAGAGGGGATGGGTTCAACCTTGCCCTGATGCTGGGAATTGTTGGGCATCTGTTGGAAATGGGGCAAAACCTTGGGGCAGGTGGGTTTCCCTGAGGACTTGGGGCTCTTAAACCAGGAGCTGTCCCTGCTGTGTGGAGAGGGCTGGGCCACCACTGGGGTGGAGCTGCTCAACATCCTCATAGAAACCAAAGCATTTTCCAAACCTTGACCTCAGCACTTGTTTTTCTTGGTGTTCTCAAGATGCTTAACAGGGCTCCTGAAAGTCAGATTGCGTTCTCCAGAACTGTCCCTGGCCCTCAGCGTGGGTGGCACGGAGGGGACAGCAGAAAAAGTCACAAGGTTTCTGCCCCGTTGTGGTGGACCAAGCAAGGCCTTTCCCACGGGAAATGCTTCCATAAGCAGTGCCCGGGGAGAGGAGGCTCAGGCTCCTGTGTGGTCCGTGGCACAGCAGGAAAAGCCTCCCGAAGAGCGCGTTCTGTGGTTTGAAAGTGACAGCAATACCTTGGCTGGTTTTATTTCACATTCCCTGCCTGCTGTGCACCGAGACACGCGGGAAGGGTTTGTGCTGGCTGAGCAGCCCGTCCCAGCGAGGACTGAGCTGCTTTCTGAGCTGGCTCTTGCAGGGCTGTGTGTGAGTCACTCTGGGCTCCTACTCACTGCCTTTCTCCTGCCACCAGCCTGGCCGAGCTGCTGGGCTCGGCTTCCGCGGCACCGCGGGCACCGGGCACGGGTGAGGGCTCTGCTGCAGAGCCACTTCAGGCTCTGCAGAGGGGACGAGCCCAGGAGCCCCTCTGGGCGAGGGGAGCGCAGGCACTGGGCAGGTCAGTGGTGCTCGGGGTGTTTGCTGTCCCCTGGGGGGAGCTGCTGGTGGCTTCTCCCTGGGGCAGGGTGGAGGCGGCTCCCTCTGCTCCCAGGGAGCTCCAGCAGCCAGGCTCACCTTCCAGAGAGCTCCAGCAGCCAGGCTCGGCTTCCAGGGAGCTCCAGCAGCCAGGCTCAGCTCCCAGGGAGCTCCAGCAGCCAGGCTCAGCTTTCCTGAGCCCTGCCAGGGAGCTCCAGCAGCCAGGCTCAGCTCCCAGGGAGCTCCAGCAGCCAGGCTCACCTTCCCTGAGCCCTGCCAGGGAGCTCCAGCAGCCAGGCTCAGCTTCCAGGGAGCTCCAGCAGCCAGGCTCAGCTTCCCAGAGCCCTGCCAGGGAGCTGCTGGCGATGCAGGGTGGGTGGAGGTGGCCGTGCTGGGGACACGGGCAGGGAGGGCTCTGGAGCCTCTGCCAGGTCACGGTGGCTCCAGGACAGGGGTGGGTGAGGCTGTGAAGGGCACGGCCACTGCTGGGTTCTGGCCCCCAGTGCTGGCCAAATGGGCAGGGAATTGGGTGTTTTAGGGTATTTCTGATATGTGTGGTGTGGGTGCTGTCCAGGGTGAAACAAGGGCTGTCTTACAGGCGGTTTTGTAGCACTGGCAGCTTTTGCTTCTTCTTACTCAATTATTTTTGTGAATTTTTGTGAGTCTTCTAAGCAAGAGGCAAAGAATGTGTGGATGGACCCATCTCTGTGCCTTGCCAGAGGGGACGCCTGCCCCAGGGTCCCTCTGGGCTGCAGGGGAGGAGGGAATGGCCTCCTGGGCACCTCTGATTGCTCAGGTCAGGAGCATCCCCTTACTGCTCCTGGTGTCCCAGACACGGATGTGCATTGGCTGGGATAGAACCTTCCTGGGCAGCCAGGCTCTGCCAGCCAGGTGGCAGCAGAGGTGGCACGTGGCAGGGCTGCAGGCACAATTTCACAATGTCCTGACGGGCTGGGCTCACATCCCCTCGGTGTTTTCCACCCTTGCCACAGGGGCACGTGGACCTTTCCTTCATGGCCGTGTGGCAGCTCAGGGACAGCTCTGCAGCCTTCCCTGGCACTCGGGGTGGGCTTGTGACCGCGGCCAGGGAGCACTGCAGCCCCAAGGACAACCCTTTATTAACTCTGCTCCTCGTTTCCCCTTCAATGCAGTGGGGATAGAACCTTCCTGGGCAGCCGGGCTCTGCCAGCCAAGGCTCAGGTGGCAGCAGAGGTGGCACGTGGCAGGGCTGCAGGCACAATTTCACAATGTCCTGGCGGGCTGGGCTCACATCCCCTCGGTGTTTTCCACCCTTGCCACAGGGGCACGTGGACCTTTCCTTCATGGCCGTGTGGCAGCTCAGGGACAGCTCTGCAGCCTTCCCTGGCACTCGGGGTGGGCTTGTGACCGCGGCCAGGGAGCACTGCAGCCCCAAGGACAACCCTTTATTAACTCTGCTCCTCGTTTCCCCTTCAATGCAGGAGATGAGTTAAAATGCAGCACACCACGTGCACAGAGGACAGGATCTACCACGCGCTGGAGAGGTGTCTGCACGGGCTGAGCAGGGACGCTGTGGCCAGCAGATGGGCTGGTAGGTGACCTCTGAACCGTGGCCTTCCCTCTGGGCTGCCCTGAGCCCTGCTGGGCTGTCTCACCCAGGCCTCTCTCTGGGTCTGAGGGAGCTGCTGGTGCTGCTGGAAGCCTTTCCCTTTGCAGTGGTCCCCTTCCAGCCTGGCCAGTCCTCCCGGGCGTTCTGCTGGAGCAGGAAGGAGTTCCAGGACCCTGCACAGGTCACGGCAGGTCTGGCCCGTGTGAGGACTCAGCAGGGCAGTGGTGCCAGTGCCAGCTGAGCCGGGGAGAGGAGAGGGCTTTGTTTGCCCAGGAGCCCTTTGTGCACTCAGGCGGCCCTGCCCGCTGCTCTCTGCCCCCACGGCAGGGTGTGATGCCGCTGCATTGTCACACACAGCACGGGGTGCTGCTATCAGCCCAGCCCTGCCTCAGATACCATAAAGAGCTGAGCCTTGTTCAGGGGCTGTGAAGGGATTGGTGAGGGCAGAGCAGCAACCAGCAGAAATAATCTGAGTGTTGTTTTGACCTTTCTGACTCCTAGCTGTGTCTGTGAGATGTGATTAAATCACTGCCAAACCCTCTTGTGGATGAAAGATTCTGGGGGCTGTCAGATTCTGAGTCCTTCTTGTCCGTGCAGTTCTTCCAACCCTTTCTGCTTTTCTTTTCCCCTGCAAGACCAACAGAGAGACGAGGCAGGATCCTGCCTGCTGCCAGCTCCCAGAGGAGTCCCCCTGCCCTCCCTCGCAGCCGCTGGAGCTGTGCTGTGACACACCTGGGGGTGGCTGGGGCAGTTCTGCCCAGGATCCCGTGTCCTTTCTTCCCCTGCTCCGGGAGCAGCCCTGACCCACATTCCCGGTGTCTGGAAGCGCGGCCCCGTGCTTGGCACGGTGACAGCGCCTGGCCAGAGCAGCCCCGTGGCCAAGGAGGTCACGGTGTGCCCAGAGCCCACCGCGGCTGTAATTACATCAATCAGCTCCCGTGTCACTCACAGCTCCAGCCCTCTGCGCTGCTCCTGGGCTGGGGAGGCTCTGAACCACGGCTCCATCATTTCTCCAGCTTGTTAGCAAAGATGGGGTGGGCAGGGCTGGGCAGGGCTGGGAGCTGTGCTGAGCCCCCGTGAGTCCCACCCCAGCGATGTCCCCTGGTCCCAGGCCCCTTCCTGGGGCTCTCCTGGGCTTTGGCAGGAGCTGCCGTTCCTGGGAGGATTTTGGGCGTTTTGCACCTCAGAAATCTCCCTCTCATCATTCCTGCTCTGCCAGGAATCTGCAGCGTGCCCTGGCTGGGCGTTGGTGGCTTTGCTGTGCCCCAGCCCCGCTGCTGCTGCTGGGGACCCCCAGGACCCCCAGAGCCCTCCCCAGGCTGTCCCTCCTTGTCCCTGCTGTCCCCATCCCACTGTGAGGGCGGGGAAGGGCCGGGTCACTGGCGGCAGGAAGGGTTCAGGGGGAGCAGAGCTTCCCTCAGCCCGGAGCTGTCCCCTGCTGCCCGTCAGAGCCGGAGCAGAGCTGTTGTCACATCCTTCCCCAAGGACAAGTGACACTTTCATTATTGCTGTCCTGTCCACGCTGTTGTTTGTGGCAGGGTTGATCCTCACAAGTCACTGAATCCTTTCATCTTGCTCTTGGCTGGGCTGGAACCTTCACCTTCCTCATTTTTCACTCCTATTTCCCAATTCCTTTGCTTTCCCCTCTTCTTTACCCTCCCCGTACACCAAAATAACACACACCACATCACAGCTTTTTGGCTGAGACCTTGCTGAATTCTGGAAATCATCTAAAGCTTTATTTTTCTGTGCTAACTTTCACACAAGGTTGCTCCAGAGAGGGTGAGTAATCGTTTCCAACACATTGCTCCCCCTGAGTAAGGGATGAGGAGCTGAGGGCTGTGAAGTCAGCAAGAGGAGTTGTGAGGGTTTGGCCATCCCGGATTTACAGCCTGGATGAGCCCCTGGCGGGTGTAAACAGAAGATCTTTCTGCAGAACTTATTGCAAAAACCAAATCAAAATGAATTGTCTGTGACTCATAAAAATCCCCGTTAGAAAAGTGCCTGTTGGGAGGAAAACCTCCTTGTGGAGGAACCACTTCAGGGCTGGCCTTGCTTTGTGCTGCAGGAGAGAGACCATGGCCAAATTAGAGTGTGAGAAGCAAGAAAAATGTTTTATTGCTTGCTGGTGAGCAGGAAAAAAAGGAAAAAAAAGAGAAAAAAAGGAGTTTTTGGTGAAGCAGAGCCCTGGGCTTGGCTCTGGTGGGGCTGGCGACCTGGCAGGTCTTACCCTTTGAGCTGATTTCTCCAGCTCGTGCTGGGTTTTCCTGTGCAATCTGCCCAGGCTGGGTGGCAGTGCCAGGAGGTGCCCTGTGCCACCTCCCGTGCCTCAGCAGCTGCAGGCTGGCTTGCTGCCCTCCCCAAGGGGCTGTGGCTGCCAGCTTGGGCCGTGCCTGTCCTTGGGCAGCTCCTGCCCCAGCTGGCCCTTCCTTGGGGCAGTCCCCAGGAGAAACCACCTCCCTCTGGCGAGGAGATGGCAGCAGCTCTGGGGGAGGAGGAAACGGAGCTTTCTGCTCTCTACCCACCCCGTGGGTGTCACTTCTGACGCCGCCAGGGGCCGTGCCCAGTGCCGTGGGCGAGGGCAGCTCGGGGGGTGCCGTTCCTGCTCCAGTGCCTCTGGATTTCCGAGTGCCAGCTGCCCGCTCTGAGGAGAAATGCCACCCCCGAGGCCAGGAAGGAGCTGCTCCGGGAGGAGGAGGAGGAGGAAGAGGGCATCTTGGGGCACTTCTCAGAAAAGCAATGGCAAAGCCTCATCCTTCCGAGGCCGCCCACGGCGCTGCCGTGTGCCGTGCCCCTCCTGGCACCTCTGGGGCTGCTGGCCACCCAAGCCCAGCCCAGGCTGCCTGAGCAGCCCCTGCCCAGCAGCTGCTGCTGCTCAGGGCCTTTTGGGGCTCTTCTGCCCCGGGGAGAATTTCCCTGGGCTCTGCAGAGGCTTTGCCCTCCCACCAGCAGGTTTTTCTTTGGCTCGCTGTCATGCTGGGTTTAGTCAGTCACGCTCTGTGGGGTGCTGGGATAAGCTCAGCTTAGTCCTGCCTTTGCCCCAGCCCCAGCTGGGGACAGGGTGTGCCCTGGGCTGCCTGTGCTGCTGGCTGGGGCCGGGAGTGACCGTGGGGCCATGAGTGACCGTGAGGAGTGACCGTGGGGCCATGAGTGACCATGGGGCTATGAGTGAGTGCCCATGGGGCCATGAGTGCCCACGGGGCCATGAGTGACTGTGGGGCCATGAGTGCCCACAGGGCCATGAGTGACCGTGCCCCTGTCCCCACAGCCGGGCTGTGCCTGAACTGCTGGAGCCTGCAGGAGCTGGTGAGCCGCGACGCCGGTAACTACCTCATCCTGGTGGAGAAGATCCTGGCCAAGACCAAGGAGGTGAGTGGGGGCTGGCAGGGGAACCGCGGGCTCCGAGGCAGCAGCAGCTCCGTGCCTCGCTCAGGATGGGCTTTGGCAAAGCTGGCTGGGGGATTTGGGGTCATTGGGTACTGCTGGGGCTGGGTCAGCAGGTGCAGAGCTCTGGTGGCACCACTGCTGTGTGTCCCATGAGAAGAGCCCATCCCCGTTGTTGGGGCAGCCCTGCAGGTCCCCAGGGGTGGGCTGTGATCCCCCAAAGCCCTGCTCGGTGCTCTGCAGCTCCTCCAGCCTTCCCCTGCCCTTCCCTGGTTCTGTTCTTTGGGTGGCTGGAGCTGCTCTGGCTGCAGAGTGGTCTGGAACAGGAGGGCTTAGGAGAGGCTTTATTGCACTGTGGGCTGTGCCAGCATCTCCTTGAGCCCTCAGTGGGAGAGTTCTGCTGCCTATTCCCCGGAGAACCCCCTGGGATTCCACCCCCTGGATTCCACCCCCGGGTTTTCCCCCAGGGATGAGGGAATTTCCCCAGCAGGACTGGGGTCTCCAGGCACCTCCACTTTGGGGGTGCTCCCGGCCAGCAGCTCATCGCTGTGCCCTCGGCTGTTCCCACAGGTGCAGGAGAGGTGTGACTACGAGCTGGTGACGCCCCTGGCCCTGCTCTTCTACTCGGCCGTGCTCTATGTAAGTGCTGAGCTGCTGCCCCGCTCCCAGCCCGGCCAGGCTCCAAAATCAAGGAGGCTTCGGCTGGAACCTCCCAGCCTGCTCCCATCAGTTCCTCCCAAAAAGAAAGATTCTGTATGAATCCAGAGGGATCAGGATCGAGCAACCATTGCACAAGATGAGAGACAAAGAAATGAGCTTCAGGGTTTGAAGCTATTTTTTTAAGGCTGGGCTAATCAGAAAGGGAGATGGACAATAAAGGGGAATTCTTTTCTTTACCCTTTATAGCTGGGCAAAATACACAGGCAGCATGAATGAAAAGGAGCAGAGCCTTCCCAGGAAATACTTTTTTTATTATTATTATTCCCAGCACAATGCATCATTATCCCAAGGAAGTCATTGCTGCCAGGTCCTGCACAAGCACAGCCTGCGTGGAATTCATCTGTGCGCCTTGTGGGGCTTAAAAAGGAATTTATATTTAGGCTTGGGCACGTGAGCGCCGCTTGGGGAGGCTGGGAAGGAGCTCCTTGGAGCTGTGCCCGGGGGATCCTGTGGCCCTGCCTTGGGAGGAGATGGGGTGCCACGGGGGGACTCAGCTTTGCTTCCCCCCTGCCCCTGCCAGCCCAAGCCTGGAGGTCTCACGCAGCCCTGGGGGTCTGTGCTCCCCTCACCTCTGTCCTTGTCCCCGCAGGCTCCTCACCTCCCCCCCGGCTCTGAGCTGCTGCTGAAGGCTGCCAGTGTGTACCACAGCTTCCTGACGTGGCCCGTGCCCTACTGCGACACCGCCCGGGAGCTGCTCACCTTCATCAGCAACGAGCTCAGGGCGCCAGGTGAGCGGCCCTGCCCTGCCTGGGATCTGGCAGCTCCAAACCTGGCACTGAACCCAGCACCAAACCCGGCCCTGGCAGCTCCAAACCTGGCACTGAACCCAGCACCAAACCCGGCCCTGGCAGCTCCAAACCCAGCACCAAACCCGGCCCTGGCAGCTCCAAACCCAGCACCAAACCCAGCACCAAATCCAGCTCCAACCCCAGCCCTGCCCTCTCCAAACCTGGCACCAAACCCGGCCCTGCCCTGGGGCTGTGCCCCGGCTGCTCCTGTCTCATCCCCCCTCACTTCCCGAGCCTGGCAGCGCAGTGTCCACCCAAGGCTCAGCTGTCCCGGGGGTCAGGACGCTGCCCCCCCAGGATGGCATTCCCTGGTCCAGCACGAGGTGGGAGCGGGTTCCTCCGCAGGCTGCTGGTGTTGTGTGCCCTGTGTGCAGGGAGCATGCCGGGCTCCCCCAGCTGTGCCTCAGAGGCAATTAGCCACAGGGCTGACGATCTCCCGGCTGGGTTTCAGTCTGGAGGGTCTTTTCCCCATGGAGCACGTGCTGGCTGCTCCCCAGGCTGCCCTTTGTGTGAGGGACACGGGGGGACAGCGCTGGGGCCGTTCATGGGCATCGGGGGGGCTGGAGCCCCCAGCCTGCTCTTCCGTGGAGATTTCCACAGGGCTGAGGCACTCCCTGGGCTGTTCTTTCCTGCCCAGACACCCCTTGTGACCAGCTCTGGGCTCAGGCACGGCCAGCACCAGTGCTCCTCTTAATTAAGGGCTCCTTGTGGATGTCCTGTGGTTCCCAGTGGAGCAGCTCTTCCAATTATTGCTCAAAGCCTTTTTGCCTGATCTCGCTGCCTTTCGGGGGCTTTTGAAGAGCTGTTATCACACAGAGCACATTGCAGGCCGTGTTTAATCCTGGGCAGGGTTTGGGAGGCCTGGGGGGATGTGCCTGTGGCTGGGGGTGCTCCCCACCCCTCAGGCTGGGAAGGTGCTCTGGGGGATGGGAGAGGCAGGGTCCCTGTCAGGGCAGCAGTTCCTGTGAGGTGGGAACTTGGGGATGGGGGGAAAGGAACAACAAGATGGAAAAATCCCAACCTGAGCTCTGGACTGGCTGCCTTACCCCCAGCACCACTGGCCACGGCCACCAGGCAGGTCTGGCTGCAGGGCCACAGGGACGTGGGGACGCTCGTGGGGCTCCCCAGCTCCCTCCTGGTGGTTTCCTGCCCTGTCCTGGCCAGGGCTGTGCTTTGCCCACCTCTGGAGAGCCCCGAGTGCCAGGTGGGGGCTGCTGCCCCCCGTTCTGTGCCATCCCCAGTGCCCCAGGCTGTGGGAGTGGGGACCCTGGCCCAGAAGCTTTCCCCTCCACAGCAGAGTGGATTTCCTCCCCTGCCAGAGCTGCTGTGTGGGAGGGCTCCCTGCTGCCCCGGGAGCCCTCAGTGAGGCTCTGTCCCCTGCTGCTGAGCTGCCAGGACCTTCCAGGCTGTTCCAGGCTTGCTCCGCATCCCCCTGACCTGCTGGGGGGACCGAGGGCAAAGCCTTTTATTGCCATGAGGGCAAAGATTAACAGAGAACGAGCCGCTGTCAATATTTGCCAGGAGCACAAGAGCTTTGATCTGCGCCCTGGGGCTGATGCCTCTGCAGGAGGGTCTGGTGCTGTGTGACCTGAGAGGGTCCTGGTGTGCCCTTGTGGGTCCTGGGTGTCCCCCCGTGGGTCCTGGGTGTCCCCTCGTGGCTGCTGGGCTGGGGATGTGGCTCCCTGCAGGGACAAGGGCTGGATCCTGCTGGTCCATAAGGGTTTCCTGTCCTGCTGATGGGGTGACAGGGCTCTGCTGATGTCACCCAGTGTCCTGGGGGCAGTCCTGGGGGGCACCCAGGCTGTGGCTGCCCACAGCAGCCTCTCCTGCGCCAGAGTGGGCTGTGTCCCTGCAGGCGGGGAGGTGGCAGTGACCTGCTGGTGACCTGCAGGGCCTGGGGGCTGGAGCAGCTGGCAAAGGTCATCCTGGAGCTCCCACCCCACAGGAGCAGGGGCTGGAGCAGGTCTCCGGGTCTCCTGCCCCCTCCTGGGGGTGCTCTCCCGTCGCTCTGGGTTTAACCCTTCACGCCCTGGGCTCCCTGCTCTGCACTGCCCCCAGGCAGTGGCTGTGCCTTGTCCTCACCAGGACTCTGCTGCTGCTCCTGCTCCGGCCTGGGCTCTGCCGGCTCAGGAGGGCCCTGGGGGCAGAGGCAGCTCCTGCAGGGCTTCTGTGCCTCACTGCTCTGCTCTCCCCCAGGGATCACCTTCCAGAGGCTGGTGAGGACGGAGCAGGGGCTGCCTGTGAAGAACTGCCAGAGCTCCACGGTGTAAGTGTGGAAGCACTGCTGGGGCTCCCTGTGGCATCCCCTCGGGCTGCCACTGCTGCAGCATCTCCCAGGGGCGGGGAGGAGGGCTGGGAAGCCGGGCTGAGCTGTGGGAGGGGTGAGGAGAGCGCCTGGGGCATTTCCAGAGCCTGGGACAGGATCTGTGGGCTCCCTGCCGGTGACCCTGCAGGGCTGCAGGCGTGGGGAAGGCAAAGCCTCCTCCCCAGGGAGCTGCACGTGTTGGAGAGCAGCTGGGATCTGTGATTTTGGGAGCCAGAAGGGAGTCCCATGCCAGCCCCGGGCAGCTCTGAGCAGGCAGACTCTGCACCTTGTTTGGGGCTGAACCTTTCCCTGCCGTCCTCATGTGCAAAGAGGGAAATGAGGCTGGGGATGGACCTGGGCCGTCCTGAGAGCTTCTCCTCAGAGCTGCACCTTCAGGAGGAGATGTTTGGGCTCCCTCGTGTCCCTTGGGGCCCAGTGGCAGCTGGGCTGGGCTGGGGATTGGCTGGGCTGGGCTGGGCTGGGCTGGGCTGGGCTGGCTGGTGCCATGCCCGGCCTGAGCGCTGTCCCTGTCCCCAGGACGGTGCTGCTGCTGAACCACTCGGAGGTGCCCAGCGAGTTCCTGTCCATCGCCCGCAGGCTGAGCTCCAGCGAGCCCCCCCAGCACTCCACGCTGCTGCTGCTCCTCGAGCACCTCTACCAGGCCACCTTCGGCACCCGCTGCGACCTGGCCGCGCTGCACCAGCTGCTCAAGGTGGGCAGGGGCAGTGCCCACCCTGGGCTGCACCAGCTGCTCAAGGTGGGCAGGGGCAGTGCTCACCCTGGGCTGCACCAGCTGCTCAAGGTGGGCAGGGGCAGCTCCCTGCAGGGGCTGCTGCATTTCCTACCCAAAGCACCACTGGCTTGGCGGAGGAAGAGAGTTTGGGTAACACTTCTTGGAGGAAAAATACGCATTTTCCCCATCTCAGGTTAGACCTGAGGTCTGAAGAGTTTGTGAAGTGTGTGCAGAGGGCTCTCTGCCCTTTTACCCTGCCACTCCTTTCCCATCCCAAAGTGGAGAGAGGAAGGGCCCCCAGATTGAAAATCAGCAAAAGTGTTTGACCATAGAAACACTTGAGAGAGAGGCAAAAAGAAGTCGTGAAGAAAACCCCTGGGGTGTTTTCAAAGTCATTTTTATTTCCACTGGAAAAGTTGGGGGTGCTGGAGGGGTGCGGGCAGTGGAGGGGGGCGAGCCCCCCGTCAGTGCTGCTGCTGAGCGGGGGGACCCCTGACCGTGTCCCCCGGCTCTGCTCCGCAGTGCAAGCCCCCGCAGGAGCTCTCGGAGCTCTACGGCAGCGCTGCCGATGCTCAGGAGGCGGCGGCCGCCAGCCCCGACCCCGCGCTGGCCCGGGAGCGGCTGCAGGCCGTGCTGCGCGACATCGCCGGGGCCGCCTGCTTCCCTGCCCTCGCAGGTGAGCCTCCCGCACCCTCGCTCTCCTCCCGGGGCTCGCTGCCGGCTCACCCCCGCAGCAGCAGCGGGAGTGCTTTTGCAGGGTCTCAGCCGAGTGCAACCACTGCGATAAGAAAGCACGGACACGGCTCTTGTTTAATAACCACACCTGAGCCACAAATGGTTTCATTTAAACAGCAGCCAAATGAGCTGTCCAGCCCCTGAACAGTTGAGGGGTGGGATGGAAGCATTAAACCAGGAGCCGGTGCTGGCTGTGACACCTGGTGGCTGTGGCGCTGTGCAGTGTCCCTTGTCCTGGAGCTGGGGACAGCAGTGCCGGGACTCAGCGTGCCCTGGGCTGCCCAAAACGGGCTGGGTGGCACCTCCCGGGCCAGGAGAGCTGGCCCTGGGGGACCCTGCAAAGCAGCTGCTGTGGCTCCTCTCTCCGCAGGCCAGGCCCAGCCCCGCAGGCTGCACCCCTTCCCCATCCCCCCCGCCCGCTGCTACACCTACAGCTGGGACCAGGACAACTTCGGTGAGTCGGGCCGGGCCGAGCTCTCAGCTGGGCCCCGCAGCAGCTTTGGAGAAGTAGAAGGTTCCCCTTGTGCTGAGCTGGTGCTTCCCCATTCCTGGAAGGGCCTCGTGTGTTCCTGGGAAGGCTCCGTGCTCGTCCCTGCTGGCCCCAGCAGAGCTCTGCGCCAGGCCTGACTGGGAGCCAGGGTGGGTCAGGTGGGGTTTGATCAGCCAAAGGTTTGGCTCTGCTCCAGTTAAACCTGGATCAGACGTGAGGATGTGGTGAAAGCTGGGTGGGAAGGAAGCAAAAGCCCAGCTGGAGTTTGGCTTTTGAGAACCCAGCCAGAACCTCGAGGAGAGAAACACAGTTTTCTTTGCATTGCGTCTGAGCAATGAAATGTGGAAATGAAAATCCCTTGGGGATGAGGTTTCCAGCTCCTTGGTGGACACCAGGGTGGGGCAGAGCTTTGGCCATCAGGAGTGGCAGTGGTGTCTGGGCTCACCACGTTTGCGGCGGCTCTGCTGCAGCCCGTGGCAGACACCTCCTCCCTCTGGTTGCTTTCAGACATCCTCAACGATGTCCTCAGCAAGGAGTGCAGCATTGCTGAGCCCCTGGCCTCGGAGAACGAGGAGGAGGACGAGGAGGAAGAGGAGGAGGAGGATGTGGAGCCGGACGGCGGCTGCCCCGAGCAGGACTCGCTGCTGGCCCCGCTCTGCGCCATCCCCGCTGACTCCGTGTACTCCGTGCTGGCCGAGGAGGGCTCCAAGCCCCCGCGCCTGTCCCTCTTCGCCTCCTCCAAGGAGTCCATCTCGGAGCTGACGGTGGTCTCCAGGAAGTCCCTGAAGTCCTTCGTGTCCAGCCTGAAGGACTGCATGGACAGCGGCTACGCCGAGGACAGCGACGAGAGCTGCCCGGACGCGGCGGGCCGGCCCGAGCTGCCCAAGCAGCGGCAGTCGCTGACCAACCGGCTCTACAGGCTGCTCAAGAGCAAGGGCCAGCAGCTGGTGCAGCGCCGGGACTGCCCGGGGCCGCGCTCGCCGCCGCTGCGGCGCGCCGAGAGCCTGTGCGCGTCCCCGGCGCC